GCAGGGATCCCGTGCGACACGCATGGGCAGCGTGCATCCCAGAGAACATGCAACGAGGTGCAGGGATCCCGTGCGACACGCATGGGCAGCGTGCATCCCAGAGAACATGCAACGAGGTGCAGGGATCCCGTGCGACACGCATGGGCAGCGTGCATCCCAGAGAACATGCAACGAGGTGCAGGGATCCTGAGCAGCATGCACGGGCAGTGTGTAACCCAGGGAGCATGCACCGAGGCGCATGGACCGCAGGCAGCATGCACAGGCAGCATGCAATCCAGGGAGCATGCACCAAGATGCAGGGACGCCTAGCAGCGTGCACCCCAAGGAACATGCACCAAGGTGCATGGGTCACAGGCAGCGTGCATGGGCAGCGTGCACCCCAGGGAGCATGCAGCAAGATGCATGGACCCCAGGCAGCGTGCACCCCAAGGAGCATGCATTGAGGCGCATGGACCGCAGGCAGCATGCATGGGCAGCATGCACCCAACATAAGATGCACCGAGGCGCATGGACTCGACGAAATGCGCACAGGCAGCCTGCAACCCAGGGAGCATGCACCAAGGTGCATGGACCACAGGCAGCATGCATGGGCAGCACGTACCTCAGAGCATGTGCCAAGGTGCACGGAATGCAGGCAGCATGCATGGGCAGCGTGCACCCCAGGGAGCATGCACCGAGGCGCGTGGACTCGACGATATGTGCACAGGCAGCATGCAACGCAGGGAGCATGCGCCAAGGTGCATGGACCTCAGGCAGTGTGGATGGGCAGCATGCAATGCAGGGAGCATGCAGCAAGAAGCATGGACTCCAGGCAGCATGCACCCCAAGGAGCATGCACCGAGGCGCATGGACTGCAGGCAGTGTGGATGGGCAGCATGCAATGCAGGGAACATGCAGCAAGAAGCATGGACTCCAGGCAGCATGCACCCCAAGGAGCATGCACCGAGGCGCATGGACTGCAGGCAGTGTGGATGGGCAGCATGCAATGCAGGGAACATGCAGCAAGAAGCATGGACTCCAGGCAGCATGCACCCCAAGGAGCATGCACCGAGGCGCATGGAC